CACACCAATTCCAATGGCGGGCACATGTACGCCCGGGTATCGAGGGTGTGGGGAACTCGTTTTGAATTTTCACACGGGCAAGTAAGAGCGAACAATCTTGTAATGATTGTTGTTGTTGTTCTTGTTGTTGTGATCGTCGTCGTCGTCGTTGTTGTTATGGTTGTTGTGGTTGCTGTTGTTGTGGTTGTTGCTGTTTTCTGTTGTTGTTGGTGTTGTTGTTGTTGTTCTTGTTGCAGTTGTTTTTGTTGTCGCTGTCGTTGTCGTTGCTGTTGGTGCTGTTGTTGTTGTTGTTCTTGGTGCTGCTGCTGCAGCTGCTGCTGCTCGTCTTCTTCTTCTTCTTCCCCATATCCTAAGATGGGGTTCTTGTTATTACTTGGACGCCTCCTCCTCCTCCTCCTCCTTCCTCCTCCTCTTTTCTCCTCCCCTCCTGTCGGACATACTCAGACTTGCTCATACACAGACTTACTCATACTCAGACTTACTCATACTCAGACCTACTCATACTCAGACTTACTCACACTCAGACATACTCATATACAGACTTACTCATACACAGACTTACTCATACACAGTATTAGTCATACCCAGACGTACACATACACAGACTTACTCATACACAGACTTACTCATACTCAGCACCCCTAAGGGGAGCCGCCAGGGGTGGTTGCACGGGCTCGTTCGCGGCCATTTTGTGGGGATGTCTCAGGCGGTTTGCCTGTTTCTGTGCCCAACATCCTTCGCTTTCGGAGCAGATTTGGAGGATGTCTCGAGCGAGGCGCTCATTTCAGCACCCCTAAGGGGAGCCGCCAGGGGTGGTTGCACGGGCTCGTTCGCGGCCATTTTGTGGGGATGTCTCAGGCGGTTTGCCTGTTTCTGTGCCCAACATCCTTCGCTTTCGGAGCAGATTTGGAGGATGTCTCGAGCGAGGCGCTCATTTCAGCACCCCTAAGGGGAGCCGCCAGGGGTGGTTGCACGGGCTCGTTCGCGGCCATTTTGTGGGGATGTCTCAGGCGGTTTGCCTGTTTCTGTGCCCAACATCCTTCGCTTTCGGAGCAGATTTGGAGGATGTCTCGAGCGAGGCGCTCATTTCAGCACCCCTAAGGGGAGCCGCCAGGGGTGGTTGCACGGGCTCGTTCGCGGCCATTTTGTGGGGATGTCTCAGGCGGTTTGCCTGTTTCTGTGCCCAACATCCTTCGCTTTCGGAGCAGATTTGGAGGATGTCTCGAGCGAGGCGCTCATTTCAGCACCCCTAAGGGGAGCCGCCAGGGGTGGTTGCACGGGCTCGTTCGCGGCCATTTTGTGGGGATGTCTCAGGCGGTTTGCCTGTTTCTGTGCCCAACATCCTTCGCTTTCGGAGCAGATTTGGAGGATGTCTCGAGCGAGGCGCTCATTTTCACCCCCCAGGTGGGCCAGACTTTGAGGATGTCTCGATCGGTTTGCTAGTTTTGGTGGCCAGGCTCGTAGGCGCAGATTCTTCTCAGGATGCCACAGGAGGCTCCAACAGGCTCCAGGAGGCTCCAGGAGACCACATGAGGTCCCAGGAGGCATCAGGAGGCCACAGAAAGACTCAAGAGGCCACAGGATGTCCCAAGAGGCTCCAGGAGGCCCCAGGAAGCTCCAGAAGGCCTCAGGAAACCACAGGAGGCCCCAGGAGGCAACAGGAAGCGCCAGGAGGCCTCGGAAGGCAACAGGAGGCCCCGAGAGGCCCCAGGAGCAGGAGGCCTCAGAAGGCAACAGGAGTGGCTCCAATCCCATGTGTTTTACGTATGCTCCTATCGATTGGGCCTCACCTGGAGCACGATTCTTTGATGTTCTACGTATGTTTCTATAGATGGTCCTTCTCCTGTGTACACAATCCTAAATGTTTTACTCATGTTCCTATGTATTGGGCCTCTCCTGGGGCACGAGTCCTTGGTGTTTTACGCGTGTTCCTATATATTGCCCTTCTCCTGTGGCTCTAATCCGCAATGTTTTATGTACGTCTGTTGCTATAGATTGCGCCTCCCCTGGGGCACGAAACCTTCCTAGGAGGTCCCAGGAGGTCCCAAGAGGCTCCTGGAGACCCCAGGAAGCCCCAGTAGGTTTCAGGAGGCCCCAGGAGGCCCCAGGCTCATGCACAGAGACGCGCTCGTACTACTGAGGCTCATTCACACTCCAATTCATTCGCAGTTAGATTGATGTCCAGACCGTCACAACTGAAGCCCGTTAATATTCGAAAGCTCTTGCGCCTAGACATTCACGGCGGACAGGTCTATGCGAGTAGATGCACATATGGGGAGCTCCACGCAGTGAATAATTCTTATTCTTCTGTTTCTTATTATTAGGGTTGTTGTTGCTGCTGCTGTTGTTGTTGTGGTTGTTGTTGTGGTTGTTGTTGTTGTTGTTGTTGTTGTTGTTGTTGTTGTCGTTGTTGTCGTTGTTGTTGTTGTTGTTGTTGTTGTTGTTGTTGTTGTTGTTGTTGTTGTTGAACATTATTACTTCTAAAGAATAATTATTGTTGGGACCCCTGGTGCACGACCCCCCCGCCGCGCCTAGGCCGCAGCCACATTTTCATCATTTTCGTGAGGAAGTCTCAGGCAAAACGGGTTGGTCCGGATCCGGTTGTTTTGTTACGGCCCGCTTTCCCTTGCAAAAAATAAGCTAAAGTTGACATTTCTTGTTCTAACATAACCAAACTTCAAGAATCCCTTGCAAAAAATAAGGTAAAGTGGACATTCGCGCGCGCAAAACGAAATCCTTCCAAAACCTGAGTTTTCGTAGCGATTTTAACATAAAAACATACAAAAAACCATTTTTTTTTTTTTTTTTTTTTTTTTTTTTTTTTTTTTTTTTTTTTTTTTTTTTTTTTTTTTTTTTTTTTTTTTTTTTTTTTTTTTTTTTTTTTTTTAAAAAAAAATTATATATAAAACTTGTCAAAATTTCATCCCGCGCGCTCTTGCGGATTCGTAGGAAACCCAACACTTTTTTAAACATTTCTGTCAAACGGGCTTTTGCGAGCAACTTTTTCGAACTTCTGCAACAACGGTTGCGCACCTGCCAGGGCCATCATCCCTGTCAAATAATACCATGCGGGACACATTCGTTTTTTCTTCGCGCGCGCACGCCGTCGTCGTCGGCCGCGGGGCCCTGAATAGTAGCCACGGTCGTCCGCATGCCACGAAGTGAAGTGTCCGAACGTCATAGGGCGGGAAGCTGGGTGTGGGTGGTGGCGAAGAGTCGTTTGGAAATTTGGTAGAGCTTGAACCGGCCCCCCCACAAAGTGGGGGTATTGCCCGCCTCCTATGAAAACCCTGGCACTGGTGAGAACGGAGTGTCCCCACGTGCTAGTAATTGTTGTTGTTGTTGTTGTTGTTGTTGTTGTTGTTGTTGTTGTTGTTGTTGTTGTTGTTGTTGTTGTTGTTGATGCTGATGTTGATCTTGTCGTCGTCGTCGTCGTCGTCGTCGTCGTCGTCGTCGTCGTCGTCGTCGTCGTCGTCGTCCTGCTCTTCCTCCCCCCCCCTTCCCCCATTCGGTCTCCTCTTGCTCCACCCGGTGCCCCCCTCCCAGGCCCGCTCGTGCTCCTCCTGCCCCCTCTGCTCCACGCTCCTCCCGCTCTGCAGCCCCACCTCGCTCACCCCTTGTGCCCGCGAGGCTACTACCCGCCGCCCGCCGGCTCCGGGTACCCGCCGCCCAGCTACCCACCGCCGAGCTACCCCCCAGCGGGGTACCCGCCGCCCGGCGGCTACCCGCCGCCCGGCGGCTACCCGCCGCCTGGCGGTTACCCGCCGCCAGGGGGCTACCCGCCCCCGGGCTACGGCTACCCGCCCCCGGGCTACCCCCCGCCGCACGGCTACGGGGGCTACCCTCCCCCCCACGGCTACGGGGGCTACGACCCCTATCGCCGCAGCCCGCCTCGCCTGCGCGACGGCAGCCCCAGAAGCCGCTCGCCGAAGCGGCGGCAGGGCGGGGGCGGCGGCGGCGGCGGCCAGGGCGGCGGCCAGGGCGGCGGCCGCCGGAAGCGAGGAGGGCCGGCTGGCCAGTCCACCCGCAGACCCGACCCCCTCCTCCTCCTCCTCCTCCTCCTCCTCCTCCTCCTCCTCCTCCTCCTCCTCCTCCTCCTCCTCCTCCTCCTCCTCCTCCTCCTCCTCGCCTCCGGGGGCCCTCACCGGGCCCCCGGGACCGTCCAAGGAACGACTCAGGATGAAGCGCCGTCCCAGGGAAGGGCTCCAGGCCTCTGAAGGGTCGGCGCCGTAAAACGCTCGCGACGTCGGGGGTCTGGGCCCCCGATTCCTGGCCGGGGGCACACCCCAGACCCAGCATCGGCGGGTATTCCCCCAGGTCTTGGCGCTGCAACTTTGCCATCTCTGCGCGCCGGGCGTTTCCGCCCGGCTGCGCGCCCCGGGACCCTCCCGGGTCGATCCGGCTCGAAAGCTGGCGCCGCAAGATAGGATTCGGGGCTCTGGTCGTAGCTTTTCGCGATGCTGTAACTTCTGCGCAACGTCCCTGACCTTCCAGAGGGCTATTTTTTAGCACTGGAGACCTAAAAACCTAAAAAGCTGGGCGAAACAGCCTAAAACCAAGACGTACAATAGCTCTGGGATAGGTTTTTAAGTCGGGTGCTATTTTTTAGCCCTCCTGGAAGGTCAGGGGTCGGATCTCACGGTCTGCGCCCCGCGTGTCCGCCGATCCCCCTCCCTGGGGCCGAGGGGCTCGGCGTGAGCACGGTGGGCAGTCCCTCGGCATCGCTCGGACGTTTTCTACGTATTGTTTTTCTTTTTCTTCTTCTTCATCGACGAGGACCATCGGGGAGCATCCTGGATCCTCGAGCCCCCCAAAGAAGCACGAAAACACGCACGGCGAATGGGCGTCCGAGCGATGGCGGGCAGTCCGCGCCCTCCCCGGCAAGGAGGCGGCGGCGGCGGGGAGCCGGGAGGCGGAGGCGGCGGGCGCGGCGGCGGGAAGAGGCAGAAGGGAGGGGCCGGCGGTGAGCCCGAGCAGAAGCCGAGCTACGACGGGAAGCTGACGCTCGAGGACCTCCCCTCCCTCCCCTCCCCTCTCCCCTCCCCTCCCCTCCCTCTCCATTCGCTTCGCGACTGGTCTCCCTCCCGCCCTCCCCCCCTCCCTCCCTCCCTCCCTCTCCCCCTACCTCTCCTCCTTGCCCTGTCCTCCTTCTGCTGCTCCTTCCTGCCCCGCTTCTTCTTCTTCTTCTTCTTCTTCTTCTTCTTCTTCTTCTTCTTCCTCCTCCTCCTCCTCCTCCTCCTCCTCCTCGTCGTGCTCCTCCTCCTCCTCCTCCTCTTGGATTCCTTTCGGGGATCACCCGTTGAACTTGGAACGATATCGAGAAGGTTAACGGTTAGCATGGCCCCTGCGCAAGGACCGCAAGGATGACACGCTCAAGTCGAGAAATGTGTGTGTGTGTGTGTGTGTGCATTTTTGATGGGCACTCTCCGCCTCCTCCCCCTCCTCTGCTGCTGCTCCTCCCTCCCCTCACTTTCCCAATTCCTCATCTGGATGAGGAGAAGGAAGGATTATGATGCTGATGATGCTGATGAGTGTGACGATGCAAATCACGATGACGATGACGCTGGCGATGACGATGATGATGATGATGATGATGATGATGATGATGATGATGATGATGGTGGTGGTGGTGATGATGATGATGATGATGATGATGATGATGATGATGCTGACGATGCTGATGATATCGTTGCTGATGATGTTCATGATGCTGATAATATTGATGATGCTGATGATGATGCTGATGACGTTGATGAGGGTGACGATGCGAATCACGATGACGATGCCGCTGACGATGATGATGCTGATGATGCTGATGATGCTGATGCTGAGAATGTGGATAAGGATGAGGATAAGGATGAGGATGATGATGGTGATGCTGATGCTGCTGATGATGGTGGTGGTGATGATGTTGATGATGCTGATGATGGTGGTGATGATGATGATGATGCTGATTGTAGTTGTGATAGTAAGGATGACTTTGGTGATGGCGCCCACTATGGTGCTCAGGATAAGGGTGCTGATGATGACGATTATGATGGTGATGCCGATGGCGACGACGATTGTGATGATGCTGCTGCTGATGATTATGATGAGGATGATGAGGAGGAGGGAGAAAGTAGGAGGGACGACGATGACGATGATGAGGATGAGGACGGGAAGGAGGAGGAGGAGGAGGAAATAACGAGGAATATACGGACGAGGAGGCAGGGACGGAGAAGGGAGGAGAGAGAGGAAGGAACGAAGAGGAGGCGAATGCGGCCGAGGACCAGAAGAAACCCAACTTGTATCAGCGATGCTGCAACACAAACACACGCACTCTCTCCGCACGTCCCTTCCAAAAGCTGCAAGCACAGTGGGGGCCCATGCCAAGAAACACCCTGCTTGCCTCCAGGGTGCCCTGGGTTTCTTGGGTTTCGATGCTCTTGCCATGGAAAGCGTGACGTGCCCACACCAAAATCCATGGACGTCCCGGGGTCTCAGGATTGGGTTTCTTGTGAAAGGTTTCTTGTGGACTGGCCTCCACTGTACGTGACACGCATCGTGGAAACAGCGCGAGCCTCATGGGCCTGCGATTCAAGCGAGGGCCCAGTTTTCACGAGGAGCAGCCATCCTCTTGTCGGCTGTAAGGGAATGCCAGTCTGCAGCATCATGCGGTTCAGGGAGGCGTTCAGCGACAGCATCGTTTTGAAACGCAGCCGCCATCCATGCGCGTAATTGTGCGTATTTCCATTCTGCATTTTTTGAGCATGGCCGCCGCCGCCGCCGCCATCGTCGTCGTCGTCGTCGGCGTCGTCGTCGTCGTCGTCGGCCGTCGCCGTTGCCGTCGCCGTCGCTGTCGCCGCCGGCGCCGTCGCCGTCGCTGTCATCGTCGCCTCCGCCAGGCGGTCCTGCCCCGCCTGGTGGAGCACGCCCAGGACCCGGCCCGAAGCCCGACGGGGGCCAGCACGGGGCTCATCCGGAGAGGTGCCTTTGGTTCTTCGGGGGGGGGGGGCGGCGAGGAGTTGGTGGCCTCGCGCCCTCTTGGTGGAGGCAGGGCGAAGTGCCGGCCGAGGGCCCGCGGAGATGCAGCGGGGGCCGGCCCCGCTGGCGGATAAGCCCGGATCACGGAAGGGAGTCTCCGTGGGCGTGCCGGCGCCGTGAAGAAGGCACGACTTGAGGTTTTCTGCTGTTTTCGGTCTCCCGGGGCCCTCGCCGACGTCCCGGGGACGTTCTTCACGGCGCCAGCATGCCCACGACTTCAGTCGTGCGTTTTTCAGGGCCCCGGGAGACCGAAAACAGCCGAAGACCTCAATGGAGGCTTTCTGCTGTCGTCGGTCTCCCGGGGCCCTCGCCGGGGTCCCGCGGGGAGCGTCAAGGAGCGATACGAGGGATGCGAGAGGCCAGCCCCGCGGGGGGAGGGGGCCGAGACCTCGGGGGCCCCGTGTCTGGGAGGGGAGCGTTCAGGAGGGAAAACAAACACACAGACACAAAGTAATCCTCGCTTCCCAGGAAGATATATTGGAAAATATGGGAAGTGGGGGGGAAGACAACAGCCCAGAAAATATGGGAAACTATGGGGAATCTTTTTATTTGTGTGTGTTTATTTGTGTGTCCCAGGGCCCCTTCAAACGTGCCCTGAGGTCTGTCTCTGTTGTCGGCCTCTTGGGGCCCTCCCCGGGCCCCGAGGTCATCAACAGAGCCACTCCGGGTGAGGAGCTGGTCCCTGGGAAGGGACACCCGGGATCCAGGAATCGTTTCCCTCGGGGCCCGCTCGCTTCCCGGCAGAGGTCGACGCCGGCGTGCTCGGAAGGGGAAGGAAGCGAGCGGGGCAGTGGAAGGCGAGCCCGTCCGTGGTGGGCGGGTCTCGCCGCCAGTCTCGGGGTGGGCGTCGCAGGTGCCGTAAGCAGCGACTTCGGGCAGCGTTTGCTGTGATGCATCTCCTCTGAGTCCAGGCAGTGTCTTCCCCATATAGGGCTCCTAGCAAGCTCCCACCAGTCTGAGTCCAGGGAGCCTTCGGGCTCCTAGTCGCTTCACCCCACCAGTATCTTCCCCATATAGGGCGTGCCAGGGGAAGGATGGGGTAGGCTGGGTGTCTCTTCTTCCAGTGTGCATACGCGTATGCCTCGTGTGCGCCGTGCGGCAGCCCTACAAGGTACTGCATGGATATGGGGCACTGTGTGATTATAGAGCATCGAGCCCCCGAGCCGTGCGGCACCTTAATGGTCAGCGTCTTGAACAGACCACTGCGAAACTGGTTGAAAAGGAGGAGGAGGAGGAGGAGGAGGAGGAGGAGGAGGAGGAGGAGGAGGAGGAGGAGGAGGAGGAGAGGAGGAGGAGGAGGAGGTATCGGTATCGCTCCGCTGAGTCCAAAGGTCGGATGGACTAGGGAGAAGTTCGGGGTTCCCCCCTCAAACCAAGCTCTCGGCTCTCCTCAACAGGAGGGCGCCAGCGACGGTGCCTTTCGGCATTCGTCGGCGCACGGCCGCACTCTCCAAGGCGGCTGCCGCACACAGGCTCGATTCCTCAAGACGCGATCAAACTCTGACCCTCGAGCTCGAGGTAGCCCGCGGGCCTCGGGCCCGTGAAGACAGTGGCATCATCCTTAGACTCAATTAAAAGCTGGACCACAGTTGCCTCCAGCACGGGGTCATTGATGGCAATCATAAGCCTACGAACCTTCGAATCGAACATCTTTTCAGTGCGAAACAGCTTGACAAGGAGCTGGGACTGCTGGCTACCTGCAACAAAATTATCAAAACACTTGCGAAGCACTGTCTGCTGCTCAGCCGAGGCACGGGGCATCACTTTGAGCGCAACTGCAGTGAACATGAAGCTGTCGGGCGCGCCCAAGCCGTGCCCCTCCTGGCCCTTGACGCGTGGAAGGTATTCATTATCAAGTGCAGTCTTCATCGCAGTGTAGATGGGGTCGGACACCTTGATTGTGGAGGAGGAGGAGGAGGGGGAGGAGGAGGATAGTGCTCTTTACGGGTTACCCCGTCAATTTCTGGGGCGTTTTTGGCCACGCCCACTCCCTACCCAGACCCCTGGAGGCGTCCTGGAAGGACCGTTGGCTCTTCTGAGCCTGGGCGCCCCCCACCACCTCCGGGGACTTCTTGTCGGCCGCCCTTCGCCCCTTCCGCGAGGAGCAGGACGGGAGCCGGTTCCTGCAGAACCGGCTGTGGGATGCGGAGGACGACGTGCGCGACAGGACCCCATGGAGGGCCTCTTGGGCTGTGAGCGCGCGCCCGCGGCGAGCTGTGAGCGCGCGCTGCGGTTGCAGCTCTTCCTCCCTCCTCCCGCCTCCTCGTTGGTTGGCCTGCGGCCCCCCCGGCCCGTCGTCGCCACGGCTTGGCGCTTCTTGGGGTGGATACCTCTGGGGTGGATGCCCCTCGGAGGACTCTCGGACGCGTCTTGGGGTGGATGCCTCTCGGAGGCTTCTGGAGGTAGTTTTGGTGCCTGTTGGGGCCTTTCAGGGGCGTCTTGGGGGCCTCATGGGGGCCTCTTGGGGACTTCTTGGGGGCCTGCTTGGGGGCGGCTGGAGGTCCTTGGGAGGCACCGTGGCCACTTAGAACTGTCTTTGGGCCGTCGCAGGGCCTCTTGGGCGCATGCTGGAGGCCATCTGGAGCCAACTTGGGCCATTTGGCGCCATCTTGGAGGCCACTGAGCCCCAAGATCGCTGAAATCATTCGGAATCGAGGGGGGGGACCCTCCTGGGTCCCCGCACCCGTGTCCCCCCCCGCCTTCCCACCTCTGGCGGGGAGGGGATCAACGGCAAGGGGCTTTCCTTCGACTCGATTACGGCGTTGCTCGATTTTCGTTGGGCTGACTGCGCGGAGACGTCCCTACGGTTGCCGATGCCTTCGGAGGACTTGAGCTCCGCACCGGAGCTGCGTGGGAGGCCGTCATCCCCTCGCAGTCGCCGACGGGGTCGGCGGAATTTCCGCTCTGTCGCCAGCGCTAAGTCGGGCGTGTCCCTCTACAGGAGGAGTATTCAAAAAATAGTCAGGGGACGATTTCTGGACTATTTTTGATTATTTTTGCGTAGTTTTGCTTTTTTCAGATTTTTCGTCCAAAATCCGCCTGTAGGGGGATATGCCCGACCTAACGCCAGCGCCTGCACAGCAGCCGGACAGCAGGAGGCATTGTGCTGGCATTGGCGCATCACAGCCATGCGAAAGTTCATGTCGGCGCTCACAGATGCATGCCGCTTGCTCCGAGTTGCAGTGCCAAGCCAGAAGGCAGACGGGTACACGGTAGCCGTGCAGCACGTGGTTGTGTGTGAGGAGCGTCATTCAGCTATCTGCATCGCGCCGCTGCCCGCGGGACGCCCTTCGCGGCCGTTCTATCTCGCATGGTCCTCTCGAGTCGGAAGGAACTGGTCGTTGTCATGATCGCCCATTCCTCACAAGGGTCCCCGAAATGATGCAGGGTCCAAGGCGGGCCTTCTCCGCCTGCGTTTCTCCTCCGTCACTCGCCCTCTTCCCCCCGCGGCGCCTGCTCCGTGCAGGTGCTCGTGCTCCTCTGACCCGTCCTGCTCGCCGCTGCCCCTGGCCCTCGTCCCCACTGCAAGGGCAGGGACACGCTGAGGCGCTCCAGAAAGGACCTCGCCTTCGAGGATCGAAGGAGCTGTCATCTCTTCCTCGGCGGAAGGCGGCGGAAGGGCGGCCCGGCGGAAGCTCGGCGGAGGGCGGCGGAAGTAAAAGGTGTGCCCCCAGGATAGATGAAAACGTTCTGGGGTTCAGGGTTTCCGGAATCGCCCACGTATGTTCGGCCTCTCTTCCCGCCGCACGAGGATATTCGAGAAGGCGCTCCCGGCCGTGAAGAAGCTGGCAGAGGACGCGTTCGGAAACTGGGTCGTGCAGAAGCTCGTGGAGAAGGGGTCCGAGGAGCAGCGGACGCTGATAGCGAACCAGCTGAAGGGAGACGTGCTCAACCTGGCCAAGCAGCAGTACGGCTGCCGGGTCGTCCAGAAGGTGGTGCAGCTGCTGCCGTCGCACGAGCAGGGCAAGTTCGTGGAGGACCCAGGGCCGAACGGGCAGCCAGAGAGGATGATAAGGAGGAGGACGAGGAGGAGGAGGAGGAGGAGGAGGGGGAGGAGGAGGGGGAGGGGGAGGGAGCCCAAAGGACTTGTCGAGGTTGACCAGGGATCCTACGCGCGCGCCACCCGGTCCTCGAAGGACGTCTCGTCATCCCTCCTCTCATCCCGGTGCTCCAGGGTGGGCGGGCCCTCCTCCTCGGCGCAGCGCGCTCGGCTGCGAGCCGCGGGGCCAGGAGTCACCGCATGCTCCTGCGGAGGACGCGCCACAGGCGCTGGAGGCGCAGGCATGCCCCGACGGTTGTCCCAGCTCGCCTGCGTTTCAGTCGGGCCTATCCCCCTAGAGGGGGAAGATTCAAAAATAGTAACAAAATAGTCTGGGGACTATTTTTTCGAGTATTTTTGACCATTTTGGGGTACTTGTTGACAATTTTTTATTTTTCGTCTTTGGGGCATTTTTTGTCTATTTTTTATTTTTCGTCGAATCCCCCTGTACGAGGACAGGCACAACTTAAGCCTACGTCGAGCCTGCTTCAGCCCTCACAGGTGAGCACCTGCCGCTCCCCCGGCCATTCCTGGTGCCCCTCTCGCGGCGCCCTCCCGGCCTGGAGAGCGCCCTCCCGCCGCGCACGCACGCGGTGCGGGCGCTGATCGGGAGCCTCGGCTCTCGCTTGGCATCGCTCGGACGTGTGCATTTTTCCTTCGTCGAGGACCATCGAGGAGCATCCTTTATCATTCGGCGAAAAAACCACGCACGAAACCGAAAAAAACACAGGTAATGGACGTCCGAGCGATGGCCAGCTCGGTGCACCCGCTCCCTGGGACGGATCGGCCGAGTGGTGCCATTTGGCCTTCTGAGGGCGCCCGTCATTCCGGAGGGACAAAAACACACGCAGACACAATTTGTGTGTGTATTTATTTGTGGGTCCCTTGGGGCCCCTTGGGTCATGGTCAGGAGACTCCGCCTCCTCCAGGCGCTCCCGCGGGGACTTCTGGCCGAGATGGCTTCGTTGCCGATCTGACTGGTGTTTCTTTTGGTTTGGCTTCTTTTCGAGAGACGGCAGCTGTTGAACCATGTTCGGCTGCTGTGGTCCCCCCCATCTGCTTGGTCATGATGTCCGCGCCCCGCATCAAGAAGTCCTACTTGTCATCTGGAAGGCGCAAGTCGATCATGGACTGTACCTGGAGGCAACGATCCAAGGCTACGTCGTCCGGCTTCTCTCCACACCTCCAGGGGGCAAGGATCGCACTCTCTTTCTCGAGATGCTCCTTCAGACGGGGATGATTGTGGCGACCCCGATCTCCTCGATGTTCTCCGCCGGCTCAATCGGTCGGTCTCTCTCCGTGGGCATGCCAACACACTGACGAGCCAAATTTGATACCGGTGGAAGGCCCCTCCTCGGCTGCATGAACACCACCTGCGGGAGCGAATTGTTGATGCGGATACCCCATTGACTTGCGGCCTCATGGGCTGCATCTTCGCACGCTCTTGAAATGGATTGTCGGACATCCTTGTGAACGTAGCCAGAAGCGCAAGAAAGGTAATCAGAACATGAATTGCGAGTACGGTCACCAACCTGTGAATGTGAATGCGAGTACTGTGCCCAGAATGTGATTGTGAATGCGAAAGCGAAAGCGAACACCCATCAAAGGGCAGGGACAGGACGACCGGACCCTTCACGGACTGGGCACCTCACCCCAGCTGTGCCTGTGCAACGACGATGACAGACATGCAGCGGGAGGCGCCACCAGAGCTCGCCAGGGCGCCGCCGGCCCCTCCGGCAGGGCCCCCCGACAGTGGCACAAGCAGGCCTCAATTGTGTGCCTTTTTTTGTGCCTCTCTTGGAGCCTGCAGTGGCTGCCAGGAGCCCGTTCGGAAAATCCCCAAAGATTACGCGCGTGACCGGCCCCGCCCCCCCCCCCTCTAGTCACGTCGCGGCGGTCGTCCGGTGGCGACCGCGGACGTCCTGTGGCGCTCGCAGGCTAGTGTGGTGTTCAGAGGCATGTTGTTCTGCTAACAGGGACGCTGTGGCACTCGCGAGGGAAAGCGGCGCTTGCGTGCGTGCCGCGTGGTGCTCTCAGGGACGCAGTGTTTTTCTGTTGCTGAGAGGCATTGGCGCGGCGGTCGGAGCGCGGCGCTTGTAGTTGCTGGCGCCGAGTGGTGTATACGGGCATTGAATGCGCACACGGGCGCTGTGTAGTACGTGTGCGTTGCGGTGTTCAGAGTCGCTGTCGTGCGCAGGCACTGCGGGCTCAAATGCAGGGGGCCGTGTCCAGGGCAAGAAATTATCCCGGCAAAGCAACCTAACAGCGATGTGTAGAAGCATATCTGGAAGCATTGCCCTTGAGATTCATGTAGGAGTCCTGGTGTAGAATTCTGGTGTCCTCGCAGTCGCTCGTCCTCCTGCTCGTCCTCGCATGTAGGAGTCCTCGTCCTCCTCCTCCTCCTCCTGCTCGTCCTCCTTCTCCTGCTCCTCCTCCTCCTCCTCGTGCTCGTCCTCGTCCTCCTCGTCTTGCTCGTCCTCCTCCTCCTCGTGCTCTTGCCCCGGCTCCTCCTACAGTTGGCTCCGGGCTATCAAAATGTGGCCCGGGAATGGAGTTCTGGGAGCTCGAAGAACACGAAGTGGCCTACAGTTGGCTCCGGGCAATCAAAATCATGCCCAGGAATGGAATTCTGAGAACTCGAAGACCACGAAGTGGCCTACAGTTGGCTCCGAGCACTCAAAATCATGCCCAGGAATGGAGTTCTGGGAAGTCGAAGAGCACGAAGTGGCCTACAGTTGGCTCCGGGCATTCAAAATGTGGCCCGGGAATGGAGTTCTGGGAGGTCGAAGAGCACGAAGTGTGTGACTGTTTGCTTAAAACGAGCCCGGCCCTGAGCCCGGCCCTCGCTGTCCGGATGCCGCCCAGACCTCCCTTCTGAGTCATCAGATGCTCTCTTTTGACACCACTAGAAACCTATCAGTCTTCGCTGTTAGGTAAAAAAGGAGGACGAGGAGGAGGGGGATGAGAAGGAGGAGCACGACGACGATTCCGATGACGACGATCGCGATGACGCTGACGACGACGACGCTGTCGACGACGACGATTCTGACGGCGACTCGGACGCTAAGGACGACAACGACGATTGCAATGACGACGAACACGTCGACGACGCTGACGACTCCGACAACGATTTTGACGGCGACTCCGACGCTGACGACGACGACGGCGACGACGACGGCGACGACTCCGGCGACGACTCCTTCGATTCCGACGGCGACGCCGATAAGATAATTATTGTAACGAGGACGGCTGCTACGACGACTCCAATGATGCTGACGACGATTCCGACGCAGATTCGGTCTGCTCCCACGATTCCGACGAGGACAGCGCAGACGACGACGACTACTACTACTACTACTACTACTACTACTACTACTACTACTACTACGACTACGACTACTACTACTTCTACTACTGCTACTCCAACCACTACTACCATTACTACGACTACTACTACTGCGACGACGACGACTACTACTACTATTACAACTTCTACCATTACTTCTATTACTACTACTACTACTAATACAATGACTACTGCGAGAACGACTTCTACTAATATTACTACTAGTACGAGAAGTTCTACTACTACTACTACTACTATTACTACTACTACTACTACTACTACTACTACTACTACTACTACTACTACTACAGCTAATACTACTACCACTACAACTATACTACTACTACTACACTACTATTACTACTACTACTAACTATTACCACTATTACTATTACCTCTACTACTACTACTACTACTACTACTACTGTGATTATTACTACTAGTACTAGTACTAGTACTAGTACTAGTACTAGTACTAGTACTAGTACTAGTACTAGTACTAGTAGTAGTAGTAGTAGTAGTAGTATACTACTACTACGGCTGCTACTCCTAATGTCGTTACTACTATTACTACAACTACAACTACAGCCATACCTACAACAACAAAAACTACTACTACTACTACTGCTACTGCTACTACTACTACTACAGCTACTACAGCTACTACTACTACTAGTATTACTACCACTACTATTATTACTACTACTACTACCACTACTACTACCACCACTACTACTACTACTACTACTACTACTACTACTACTACTACTACTACTACTACTACTACTACTACTACTACTACTACTACTACTACTAGTACTATTACTACTACTACTACTACTACCACCATCACCACCACCACTACAACTACCAGAACTACTACTACTACTAGTGCCAGTTCTACTACTGCTACTTCTAGTGCTGCTGCTACTACTACTACTACTACTACTACTACGACTACTACTACTACTACTACTACTACTACTACTACTACTACTACTACTACTACTACTACGACTACTGCTACTGCTACTGCTACTGCTACTGCTACTGCTACTGCTAGTGCTTGCGCACTGCTGCCGGACCCCAGGCTCTGCGGTGCTCGCGCGCGCTGTGTTCACAGGCGTTGTGGTGTTCACAAGCGCTGTGGTGTTTTCCGGCTGTGTAGTGTGCGCAAGCGAAGTGGTATTCACAGGTGTTGTGGTGTTCGCAGGCGTTGTTTTCACGGGCGCTTTGATGTTCACAGGCGCTGTGGTGTTCACAGACGCTGCGCTCTTCAAGAGTACTGTGGTGTTCACAGGCACGTCGCGTTGATCGGATCGCGAGCTTTTGTGGCGCTGGTCACAGGCACGACGTGATTGTCGGGTCGCAGGCGATTGTTTTTCGCAAGCGCACGGCGGTGCTTACGGGCATGTTGCGGCACCCCAGGCGCACCCCCGCCGTGGCGTGACCGGCGCGGCGTAAACCCTCCCCGAGTCACGCACGTGACCGGCCCGAATAAACGAACGGGTTTCAGTGGTAGGAAGTGTGTCTTGAGTGGGGCTGGCCCGTCGGGCGGGCCTGGCCCCACCCCGTCCCAGTCCTCGGATGCTCCCACTGTCACCGAGCGCGTTCCACTACTCGCAAAGTGCTTACTCGCAAACGTCCAAAAAGCACATGTCAGCATCGATGAAATATATCGTAGATCCTCCATGCCGGATCCAAACCATGTGCGAGTAGTTACTATGCGAGTAGTGGAACGCGCTCATCTACATTGGGGTCAACTTCCTTTGCCTCGTGTGTGTTGTCCTGGTGTTCTTGCCTGGGACCCGTATGGCCTCCAGAGTGCTCGGGGGCCGTTTTGGTTGCCGCGCAGTTGTTGCGATTGAGTCCCGCTTGAATCCTCCGTTCCATTTCCTTATCTATAACTCATCCCTGTCGCACCCCGAGGCAAATCGTAAGGGCGGGCCGGGCGTTTCGCTTGGGATTTCTTTAACGTGTATAAGCCTGAAGCTTCAGAATTTGCAGCAATTTGACATATGGAGGGCGGGCCGCTTTCAAAATGTGGTTTTCGCCTTAGCGCAGCGCGCATTTCTTTTAGACAATCGTGAGAGTTTCACGATTGGAGGGCGGTGGTTTTTAAACTGTGGCTCTTGTTGCGCGTGTTCGTTGTAAACGATTGCAAGAGCTTCACGGATTGAGGGCGGTTTCTTTTTCAAAATGTTGCTTTCGCTTTAGCGCCGCGCACATTCGATTTAAACATTTGCAGAAGTTTGACGGAATCCCATGGTCAGCGTGCAAGTGGTTTGGACGGATTCAGGGTTGTCAGGGCGCAACAATTGCGTTGCTTCGCGGTGTTGAAGTCCCAGGAATGGTGTTTTGGCACGATTCAGGATCGTCAAGACGCAACGGTCAGGTTGATTCGTGGCGTTTGAGTCCCCCGGATGGTGTTTTGGCACGTTTCAGGACCGTCAGACGATTGATTGTCTCCAAAGGGGACACTTCCCCCAACAGAAATGAATCCTTTTAGGGGCCTGTGAAGAGGGAACCTGGAGGGAGGGTACATTCCAACATCGCTGATGAGTCTTAGGTTTGCACTGGTCCTCCTCCTCCTCCTCCTCTTCTTTTTCTTCTGTCTCCTCCTCGCCCTTCTCCTTTTCCTCCTCTTCCTTCCTCCTCTTCCCTTTCCTCTCCCTATCTCCGCCATCCTGGCCCCTAGCATCCTGCCTCCTGCCGCTTCCCGCTCTCTGCCTTCCGGCTTGCTACGTGCGTGATGTAAGCTCGCCTGGCTCGCCCCTCTCTGCGATATCCCCGTTTCCCTTGCCCCGCTCTGCCTCCCCTTTCCCTACCCCATTCCTGATGGGCTTGTTATCCACCACCACCAGCATATGTTGGAGGGGAAGGAGGTGCAGTAAGAGGAGGAAGAAGAGGAGCAGGAGGACCCCCCTCTCCCTCCTACTTCTGGAAGTGGTGGTGGGAACAAGCCCACCACTTCCTGCCCCTCGCCGCTTCCTGCCGCCACCTCCCCGTCTTGTTTCGGCTCGCCTCCGCCATCCTCTCTGGTCGTGGGGGCTCCCTCACCTCTCCCGTCCTCTCTCTCTCTCTATATATATATATATATATATATATATATATGTGCTGGGCTTCTTCGCTCTCCCTCTCTCGCCTCCAGTTTCTCCCTGACCGCGAGGAGGAGTAGGAGGAGGAGGGGGATGGGGAGGAGGAGGAGGGGGAGGAGGAGGAGGAGAGGAGGAGGAGGAGGAGGAGGAGGAGGAGGAGGAGCAGGGTGGACCCTCGGGAAACCTCCGCAAGCATCCCACATGTCATTGCACGATGTTGGAAAGGCCTCCTCCCCTGCCTTCTCCTCCAGGACTCCAACGTGACGTTTTTTTGTTGTTTTTTTCACGAAGCGGCCCCTGGAGCCAATGACCTCGTTTCTGCGTCGGTCTTTTCGTCGTGGGTAGAAGTTGTGAGTGATCAAAGGTCCAGGGCGGAACCGCGCAGGGCCAATCCAGGAAGCTCGGCCGTCGTGATCCTCTGCGGGACGCTGGATGTTTGGGTCCTCCATCGGCGACGGCCCCTCGCCCTGCAGCAACTGGTAGCGCGTCCTAGCACGAAGCTGCGGCCCTGGCGTTCCAAACAGTGCGCTTTGCGAGCTCTGACTCCACTCGAGGGAGGAGCGGGAGGTGGAGGCTGGGGAGGAAGACGAGCCGAGGAGGGAAGAGGAGGCAGGGCGCCAGGCCAGGGGACCACGACGCAGCTCCACGACGTGCGGGCCCTCCTCTCCCCTCCTCGCGCGACATCCCCCTTCCCTCCTCGCCCCTCAGCCACTTTGGCCCGAGAGAGCGCGGAGGAGCGCCGCGGGCGTCGCGCCCGCGGCCCCGCACGTGGCGCGCAGGGGTCCCAGGGGCGCCGCCCCGCGGGCATGCCCAGGCCCAATGCGGGGGGAGGCCGCAACAACCAGAACAACAACGACCTCAACGTGCCGCGGAGGACGGGGGGACGAAGGAGGGAGGGGGGAGGAGGAGGACGAGGAAGGGGGAGGGAGGGAGGGAGGGAGGGAGGGAGGGAGGGAGGGAGGAGGAGGAGGAGGAGGAGGAGGAGGAGGAGGACGAGGAAGGGGGGAGGAGGAGGAGGAGGAGGAGGAGTAGGAGGAGGAGGAGGGGATGGGGAGGAGGAGGGGGAGGGGAGGAGGAGGAAGAGGAGGAGGAGGAGGACGAGGAAGGGGGGAGGAGGAGGAGGAGGAGGAGGAGGAGGAGGAGGAGGAGGAGGAGGAGGAGGAGGAGGAGGAGGATGAGGAGGAGGAGGCGGAGGAGGAAGAGGGGGAGGAGGAGCAGGCACTCTCTCGCATCTGAGGAAGGGAGGGCGTGGAGGACGGGGAGGAGCAAAGCCGGGGGAAGAGGACGAGCTCGCTTGCTCAGTTTGTTCGCTCTCCCGCTATTGGGGACATGACGTGTACTTTTCTGAAAGACCCTTCTGGGATTCTGATGGGCTAAGTTTTCCACCATCGCTACCGCGGGTCGGACGGGGAGAAGGTAGGATGGGGAGGTCGTCGTCGTCGTCCTCCTCCTTCTCCTCGTCCTCCTCCCTATCCTACCTAAGTGATGGTGGAACATCGGCCCATCAACTTCTGTTGCCACTGGAGACCTCAGGATCGCACGGGAAGCGCTAGAAGTCCCAGAAGGCGCATCGGCACCAGAAACTTCAGCAGCACCAGCCATCAGAGGCCACAGAAGGCACCATGAGCACCAGGAGCGTCAGAGGTCTTGAAGCCACATAGAACTGAGTCACCAGACGCCCCCGAAGCCCCCGAAGTACCCGAAGTACCCGAAATACCAGAAGCCCACAAATTTCAGAAGTCCCATAGTCGTCCCAAATGTCCCAGAGCCCCGTACGCGCGTCAGGAGCATCATGACCACTTCTGGTCTTTCTGCTTCCACTAGAGCCGCCACGAACATCAGCAGAACCAGAAACACCAGACGCACCCGAGGCCTCAAAAACACCAGAAGCACCAAAAACAGTAGAAATTCATCAAAGGCATCATAAACATCAGACGCCCTGGACGCACAATGAGTCAAAGGTATACCAAACGTGTCCTCCTCCTGCCCTCCCTCCGCCTTCTCCTCTTCCCGTACCTTCCTCCTCCTCTTCCCTCTCCTTCACCCTCCTCCTCCTCCTCCTCCTCCTCCTCCCCACCTCGTCATAATCAAACTCCCTTCTCCGTCTCCTGCTCCTCTTCCCCCCTAGTCATCACCATGCTCCTCCTTGTGTCCCTGCTCGTCCACCCCCTCATCACCATCTTTCTCCTCTTCCTCCTCCTCCTCCTACTCTTCCACCTCTTGCATCCTCCATCCCCTCCTCCTCCTCCTCCCCCATCGTCATGCTCCCTCCTCCTCTTCCACCTCCTGCCTCCTCCGCCTTCTCAGCATCATCCGCTCTTCCCCTCTTCCTCCTCTTCGTTCTTCCTCTGGTCTCCTTCTCATCATCATTATCCTCTCCTCCCTTCTCCTCTTGTCTTCTCCTCTCTTCCTCTTCCAGCACTTGCATCCTCTACCTCCTCAGTATCATCCGCCCCCAATATCATCACATTCTCCTCCTCCACCTCCTGTATCCTCCGCCTCGTAATCATCCTTCCTCCCATTATTCACGCCCCTCTTTCTCCTCCCGTCTCCTCCTCCTCCTTTTCACCATCCTCTCTTTTCTACTTCTCTCTCTTCATTCCCTGCCTCTTCTAACTTTTGTGCCCTCCCCCTGCTCCCTCCTCATCACCATGATCATCCACCACCATCATCACCACCATCATCATCAGCAGCATCATCATCAGCATCATCACCACTATCATCAGCATCATCATCACCATCATCATCATCATCATCATCGTCACCACCACCATCATCATCATGATCACCATCATCAGCATCACCAGCCTCATCATCAGCATCATCATCATCACCATCATTATCAAAAGCATCATCATCCTAACCATCATCATCAACACCACCATCATCATCTTCATCTTCATACTCGTCTTCATCACCATCATCATCATCATCCTCACCATCGTCATCATTACTGACACCATCATCATCATCATCATCACACTTGTCATCATTACCGTCATAATCATCACCATCACCATCACCATTACCATCGCCATCATCACTAGCATCACCATTACTATCACCATCACCATCACAATCACCATCATCGTCGTCATCATCATCATCATCTTCATCTTCATACTTGTCTTCATCACCATCATCAGCATCACCATCATCATCACACTTGTCATCATGACCGTCATCATCAACAGCATCAGCATCATCATCACCTTCATCTTCATACTCGTCTTCATCACCATCATCATCATCATCATCCTCACGATCGTCAGCATTACTGACACCGTCATCATCAGACTTGTCATCATCACCATCATAACCATCACCATCAGCATCACCATCATCACCATCATCGTCATTATCAGCATCAGCATCATCAGCATCAGCATCATCATCATCATCATCATCATCATCATCATCATCTTCATCTTCATCTTAATTTTTGTCTTCATCTTCATCTCCATCGTCATCTTCGTCTTCATCATCACCACCATCGCCATCGTCATCATCAACACCATCATCTTCATCACCTCCATTATCATCATATGTAGCATCAGCATCATCATCAGCCTCATCATCATCATCACCATCATCATCATCATCATCATCATCATCAACAGCATCATCATCATCATCATCATCATCATCATCATCAGCATCAGCATCATCATCATCATGCGCATCATACGCATCATAAGCATCATCCTCACCTCCCATCTGAGAGGGGGGAGGAACGATCTCAAGCAAACGGCCTCCCCGAGACACGTCCAGACCTGTTCCGTTCGCTCCTCCTCCTCCTCCTCCTCCTCTTTCTCTCGCTGGTCCTCCTCCTCTTCCTTCTCCTCCTCCTCCTCCTGGGTTCCCCTTCCTCTCCTCTGTCCTCCTCCTCCTCCTCCTCCTCCTCCTCCTCCTCCTCCTCCTCCTCCTCCTCCTCTTCCTCCCCCCCCTTCCCATCCTCATCCCCTCTACTTCCTGACATTCTCGTCTCCTCCGCCTTCCCCTCCGCGCTCCGCCCCCTCCCCTCTCCCAACGGAACCTCTGGAGGGGCCCGCCCCTGGCAAATGCATGGTCCTTGGGGCCACCTCTGGGCGCGGCCTCCCGGCTGCGAGTCTTCGGGCCCTGGCTTTCTCTGGGCCCCCCAGAGCCAAGGCGTTGAAACACGACGAGTTTGGGCTCAGGAGGGGCCACGGTTTTCGGGCCGTTTCCCACCTTCAGGTCGGGGAACCTGTTCGCGACCCTGGCTCTCCGCGGCAAGAAAGAGCCCCTCTGTTCCCTCTTTTGGCGTTCCGCATCCTGGCAGCACGTGAACTGCATCCGGGGGGGAAGGGGGCACCGTGTGGAGAAGTTCTTCCCAGGCCCTGAGGGTGTGGTGGCAGGTGGCCTCCCCGACGTGCCGCAAAGGTATCACGTCGTCTCCTCGTCCTGCCCCTCCACCTTCTCGTGGTAGTCGCTTGGGTCGCCGGGGATCTCCGCGCAGCGCCGTGGCCCCTTCTCCTCACCCTCCCTCCCTCTCTCTCTATTCCCTCGTTCCTCGCTTCTCTATATTCCCTCTATTCCTCTCTCTATTCCCTCGTTCCTCGTTCCCCCTCCCTCTCTCTATATTCCCTCCATTCCCCTTCTCTCTCTATTCACTCGTTCCTCCTCGGCGAGCCCGCGATGCTTGTGGGCTGGCGTTGCGGCGGACGCCGGCCACGGCTTCCGGAGCAACTCGTTGGCACTGCTTGGCTGCAGGTGGCGCTTCTGCTCAGAGCGTGAATTACCTACCCCGCTTTCGCTTCCAGGACAAACCAAGTCATACCACGCGCCTCCTCGTCAAGCGACCTGACCAGTACAGGCCGTAGTTTGGCATCGCTTGGTATCTATTGGAAGCGAGGGTGGTCAAAAGCGAGGTAGGTTTGTTTTCCCCCTATCTGCGGTGGGGGGGACATCCTCCACGTCCTCTACCTTCCCTCTCCCCCGGTTTCGTGATCCTGCTGTCGATGCTGCTGCTCCTGGAGCCTGGGCCACCGTCTGCTGCAGCGTTGCGTCGGCGTCTCTCTTCTGCCGCTCTTACGCGGGGGTATGGTTTCGGCCGCTGCTTCTCGCCAGTGTCTGGTTTGGGTCGCTGCGTCTCGCCGGTGTCTGTTCTTCTGCTGCTGCGGCTTCTTCGTGGCATCTGCTTCCGCTCGTCCATCCTCTGGCGGGCGTTCTCTCGGATGTGGCCCACAGATGCGCAGTCTTGTCTTGACGGCTTGTCGTGCAACATGTCGCCAGGCAAGGCTGTATTGGGGATTCCGGGGGGGGGGGGGCCGAGGGGGGGAGAGGGATAGCGGCCCTTTTTTTGAGCCTTCAATGTGGGGGGTCTCCATGCGTCAGTTTTTTTCCACGATGCCTGGTGTTGTGGGACTCGATATGGAAGCGTTCCAACCCGTGGTCTCCAAAGCTTTTAGGACTGCGTTTATCCGAAAGGGTCCCGAGACGGCCCAAGAGCGGTCTACGACGCCCAAGATGGACCCCAAGACGTCCCCAGAGGACCCCAGGACTCCACAATAATGGCTCGCAGGGACGTCCGATTTCATTTCCCGTAGGTTCTCGACAAAATCTCGGCGGCGAGCCCGGGGGGAACTAAGACGGGGGGGAAGTAAGAAGGGTCGGGCCTTCTCAGAAGACTCGGAAGTCCCCAGCCTTCTGAGAAGCTTCCTGCGCCTTCCCCGAACACTCAGAACACCTCTCAGACGGCGAGGGGCTTCCGAGAAGCCCCGCCGACTTCTGAGGAGGCCTTCTCCTTCTCACTCCTCCCCTCGCTCGGCGCCGAACCACATCCGCGTTCCCCCTTCTGCGGCCTTCGACCGCCCAGGCCGACCCAGCACGCCTCCACGGCCGGTCCGCAGCCATCTTGGCCCAAGTCGTTTGGGCTCCCGCTTCAGCGGCCTCCTCCTCGGTGCCCTGGCGGTCACCGCAAGCCGTGCCGCCCGCCAGTCGGTGCCGCCTCCTCAGCATGCTGTGCGCGCCTCTCGTCGCCAAGGCCCCCCCAAGTCGTGGGGCCCTCCCTCGAGGAGGCCAGGCGCCGCTGGTGGGCCCAGGGACCGAGCGCAGCCAGGCCGCTCCGGTGTCCGACCCCAACCCCCTGTTCCTCAAGACGAAGCTCTGCCGCTTCTTCGTGGTCGGCGCCTGCGCGAAGGGCTCCGATTGCAGGTTCGCCCACGGCGCGGGCGAGCTCTCGGAGCTGCCGGACTTCACGAAGACGCAGCTCTGCTCCTCCTTCCTGCTCTTCCGCGCCTGCTCGGCCCCGGGCTGCGCCTTCGCGCACGGCCCGCGCGAGCTCCGGCCGCGCGCCGCGGGGCGGGCGGAGGCGCGCCCCGCCGGGGGGGCGGAGCCCGGCGGGCCGCGCCCGGGCGCGGGGCCCCTGCGGAGGGGCGGCCGGCGGGCCCGGCGGAGCGCCAGGCAGGCGGCGCAGGGCGAGCAGGAGCCGCTGCTGCCGCAGGATCGGGGAAACGTATACGACTCGGGTAAGCCGGAGCAAGGGTGTGCCGACGTGTTTTGACGAGCGCGTCCTGGATCTTGAGGGTCCCGTCTTCGTGGGGCGTCTGCCGCGGGAGCTCGCGTCGAGTTGCTGATCGGGTCTCGTCATTTTTGGGATGGCCCTGTCAGGCCAACCCGAGTCCCCCTATAATTACTCCAGATTTCGTAATAAAGGGAGGGGGGTCTCAATTCGGGGGGGGTCTCTTCCAGGCTATCTTGGAGGGCCTGGGGGGGTCCGGGGACGATGTTTTGGAGGGTTCTCCCACGGGGGGGGGGTCTGAAATGGCTTGTCTTGGAGGGTCCAGACCCCCTCCCTTTTATCACGAAATCTGGAGTACCCGAGTCTTACGTCTCCCCGACAGGAGGAGGCGGCCGTGCGCAGGGCGCTGCCGCTGCGCCTGGCGGACGCGCTGCGCAGCGGGCGCGGGGGCTCCCGGGCCGGCCAGGGCGATGACCTCGAGCCTCCGACGTGCGGGCGGAGCCCGTGGAGCCGCCAGACCAGCGCGGGCCTCGCGCACTCCTCGGCGTCCGGCAGCCAGGGGTCCAAGACGGTGGAGCTGACGTCGGGCGACGACGCCGAGGAGGACACCGACCCGCCGCGCGCGCACACCCTGGAGATCAGGAACACTTTCCTCACGAGTGTCGACGACGACGGGGCTCGCACCCCGCTTCGCCGGATTCGGTCTGCACCGGCGCTGTCCTGATGCCGCCCCTGAGCGCGTCCGCTCGAGGTGGCACTCCCAGATCGCCATGCAACATATTTCGGGCTTGGAAATATTATCATCCTTTGTGGTCGTTCAGCCGTTGTGCACGCAGGTTATGTATTTTTCAATTGGTTGTTTCAGTTCGCCCTGCGTCCTGAGCAGCAAGTCGGGCTTTACCGGCCTACTTCATATGAAGGGAGTGTACTCCCCAGCCGTCAACGCTTGCCTCTTTCAAGTTCTCGCGTATGGCTTCTGAGTGTCATGTGGACATCGGAGGCGCAGCCAGCACGAGCGTTGGACAAACTCTCTGGGTGCCGCCTGGCTGCTTCCGTCTCGCGGGGCAAAAGCTCGGCGCGCTCCCCAGTCAGTCCAGAGGTCCTGCCCCTTCGTGTGCTCACACTTTGCCCGAATGCCGTTGAGATCACCAGCGTCTCACGAGCCAGCATGAGCGCGGGGCGCGCGACAGTCGGAGTCCGCCCAGAGTGAACTCGGAGCGCCTCGGAGCGCGCATCCGCAGCAGGCCATGCCCCTCCCGCCCCCCCCCCCCCCCGCCCCCCCCCGCCCCCCTTGGCCTCCCCGTCCCCAAGGACCGCCGGCCGCGCCCGAAGGCCGGAGGCGCAGTCCTGTCTCGATATGGCATAGTCACCGAAGCGTCGCAGCTTCGTAGGGCTCCCGAAGCAGGGTTGCACCAGCCATTCGACCGCACAGCTTGGCAGCGGCCGCGGGCGCGCCACTGCAGGCGGCCGCCGCGCCAGTGCGCTGCGGGCGGAGGGCGGAGCACGGGGGGAGGATGCCGTCGAGGACGCGCCGCCCGCCCCTCCGTGGCCCCTCTGGGCTCGCCGCGTGCTCCATTTTCGGGGAACAGAAAGGGGCATAAACACAAAAACTCGGAGGTCCGCGCGGATTTCTCGGATCGGCGCTGGGGCCCCCCCGGCGGCGCCTCCGGCGCCGCCCCTGGCGCGCTCCGCGCGCCATGGAAGGGGGTCCAGCGCCGATCCGAGAAATCGCGCGCGGCGAGGAGGAGGATGAGGAGGAGGAGGAGGAGGAGGAGGAGGAAGGAGGAGGAGGAGGAGGAGGAGGAGGAGGAGGAGGAGGAGGAGGAGGAGGAGGAGGAGGAGGAGGAGGAGGAGGAGGAGGAGGGGAGGAGGAGGAGGAGGAGGAGGAGGAGGAGGAGGAGGAGGAGGAGGAGGAGGAGGAGGAGGAGGAGGAGGAGGAGGAGGAGGAGGAGGAGGAGGAGGAGGAGGAGGAGGAGGAGGAGAGGAGGAGGAGGAGGAGGAGGAGGAGGAGGAGGAGGAGGAGGAGGAGGAGGAGGAGGAGGAGGAGGAGGAGGAGGAGGAGGAGGAGGAGGAGGAGGAGGAAGGAGGAGGAGGAGGAGGAGGAGGAGGAGGAGGAGGAGGAGGAGGAGGAGGAGGAGGAGAGGAGGCAGGAGGAGGAGGAGGAGGAGGAGGAGGAGGAGGAGGAGGAGGAGGAGGATCCTGGCACTCCAGGTGGCTTCGAACTTGGAGTCGACGTCCGAGTTTTTCTGTTTATGTCGCTTTTTGTTCCCCTATCCGTGCTCTCCAGGGCGGCAGGGCGCGGCACAGGCCCCGCTGCGCCTGCGAGGGCGGGGGGGCGCCGGGCGGTGGCCGCCCCTGCTCGCTGCTGGCGCGGTGGCGGGCAGGGGCGGCATTGCACCGGGGCACCGGCGACAGGGCCTCCTCCTCCTCCTGCTCCTCCTCCTCCTCCTCCTCCTCCTCCTCCTTCCTCCTCCTCCTCCTCCTCTCCTCTCCTCCTCCTCCTCTCCCCTCCTCCTCCTCTCCTCCTCTCCTCTCATCCTCCCCCCCCCCCCCCGAAGAATGCAAGCGGTGGCGTTGGCCCCCTTCCATTCGGGTGGCGGCGGTCGAGCGAGCGGAGCCCCCGCTCGCGCGGCCAGTGGTCGCCTCTTCTCTCGTTTCACGGTGGGGTCTCGTTCTCTCGTGACCCCACACGGTGGCCCCGTGCATTCTCGATGTGCAGTATTCGCGGCACGGTCTGTGCATGGTGTCACCGATGTGTACCAGTCGGCATGGTGCAGTCTGTGAGGCACAATCGATGTGGTGCATCGTACGTGTTGCCTTGCGTGGATGCCTGCGCGCTGCCTGGGCAACTGTGACGTGCCACGCAGAAGGCACAGTAGGTCGGGCGCCATCCGCGCAGCTCCCACAGGGGAGGCGCCTTTTCGTCGTCGGCGTGGTTGGGGTCGAAGCGGGCGGATGGGCTGGCGAGGAGTGTCCACGGCGGGACGACTCCAGGTTTCGGAACGGCGAGGCGCTTCTGAGGCAGAGTTTCAACCAGGCCTACCCTCTTTCTGGAGACAAGCCCGTGAGGCTTTTGGTGCACAGGGGCGCGGCGATTATTGTGTATCCTGGGTCTCCACGGTTTTTATAGATGGCTGCTGCACCACGGCTATTGCACCACACTGCAGAGGTCGGCAGAGGGATTCGTCTCTTGCTGGTTCTTAGTCGCATCCGCATGGGGCCGACCTGACAGTGGCGCGGGCCTAGTGTGCACTCCAAGACACAATCTGTCTGAGGTGGAAAGGGTGATGCCACTCCTTTCTACTCTCATCGTCATGGGGACTGCTCCGACTCCATCGCTGATTCGTCCACCGCCTTGTATCTTCGCTTCATATTGTTTCGTTTCTGATCCTTTCAGATTCTGCGAGGCTTCTTCGCTGAGCCTTCTTCGCTGAGCCTGGCACTGCCTCTTTGCTGAGCCTGGCAGGGCTAGCATGGCCTTGGATCATTCGGCTCTGCAGGAGGGGAGGGGGA